AATGCGGGTTCATCACATGCGTACCATAGCAGCCAAGGACACGCAGCACTCCACCCACAGGGTAGGAAGCGACATGGTGCTGCTCAGCTTTTGGATCAAGCCCCACGCCCCGCTTCCTGCAGGCTGCTCCTGGCCAGGACCGTGTCTTTCTTGCAAGACACTTCTACTAACAGCTGATGCTGGCCAACGACTCCCTGACACCTGCTCTTGCAGGCTGAATTCTCATTTGGCATCTGCTTTTTTGTGATGCACTTTCAGTATTCCTACTTACCTGTTCCTATACTCTGATCTCTAAAGGATTTGAGTTGCTAATGTGCTCGACCATCATGAGAAGGGTGAACCTGGATTCCTAGTCATGTTCCACTTCTCCTCGTCACTATTCAGGATCACCTCTGCTCTTCAAAAACCGCCGAACTCGTTCTTTCCCCTTCACTCTGACTGCACCAGAAGCCAGGCCGCTGCTCAGCCTGAGCACCAGCTCCCCTCCGCAGCTCCCCTCCGCAGCTCCCCTCCGCAGCTCCCCTCCGCAGCTCCCCTCCGCAGCTCCCCTCCACAGCTCCCCTCCGCAGCTCCTCCCGGCCTTGGAGCTCCTGGGGACCTGCGGCCCTTCCTGCTGTGTCCTGACTTTCTACTTGGCCAGGCGATCCTGCATTCTTGAACTTGGCCCCGTTTGTCCCCTACAGTTAGGGTAATGACGAGGCCCTGCATTTTAAGAGGGGGCTTCATCCAAAGGCACTGTCTATCTGCCGTCGCTGCCCCACTTTCTGAAAGTGTAGGCTCTGTGCTCTGTGCCACCTTCCTCACTGGGGGCTGGTCTCTGTGCTCACTGTTTTATGGAGATGGCTCTCCTGCAGCTGACACTGGCCTCCAGGTGCCAGGTGCCTGGCCTCAACTGCTTCCTCTGTTGAGCCTCTGAACGTGGCTCCCCCTACTAGTCCTTTCGTCCTGAAATAGTCTTTCATCTAGGTTCTGATGACACATCAAAGCGTTCTTTTTGATGCTACTTTCTAAAGTGTCTTTCTTTGGCATTTTAATTGTAGGCATTCCCTAAGATCGGCCCCTTCTCTCCCATTTTGGCTTTAGGTGTCTGATCAACGAGCTCATTTACTTCCAAAGGCTCTGTCTATGACAGTTCAAGTTCAAGACCAAGATCTTCAGCATCATTTCTTTCCGGAGCTCCAGATCTCTATGTTCAAGTGCGGGCAGATCCGCAAGGACGTCCACTTGGAGACCGGAGTCCCCGGCTCTAGAGCAAGCCCTGGCCACCTCCTCCGGCTCCTATGTTCTGTTTCTGCCTCTGGCACCACCTCCTTCCAGTTCCTCAGGCCAAGACCTCTTTTTCCTCTCCCTCTGCAGCGATCTCCAAATCCTATTGATCCCTCCTCCCTAGAGTCGTTCAACTCCGTCCTGTGCTGCCTAAACCCAGGGCTCCCCTCATCGCTACAGGTTCCCCACCTCTTATCACCTGTGTTTTAAAAACGCCCTTTACGTAAACTGCTGCTGGAATGATCACATAACACACAGTTCAGGTTGCTGCTCCCCTCACACGTGTGTAAGGACACACCCACGAGCCCAACTGGAACTCTCTACTGCAACTAAACAATGGTGGGCTAATCTGAATTCACTGAATAAAACAAGAATTCATGAACCCATTCACCACACATAAATGGATACACAATAAGTGAGCAAGAAAGAAAAAGCCCCTCCGTAGTGTAATAACTGCAGAAGAAATGATGACGTTAGGAAGCCACCTGCTGGTGACCTCCGTAGCAATGATTCGATGACTGGAAAGAGGATGTTACGTAGTCTCACACCGTATTTTTGTTTTTTACTGAAAAACAAGGAACATAAGAATGTTCACTGGACACACCTCCCCCACTACCTTACCACGTGGGGAAGGCAGCACCACCCACCAAGTCCAGGTGGGCATCGTGAGCCTCTGGCGTGGTTCACCGGGGAAGGGTTCACTGTCACCGAGTGGTGTTCCTCCCAACACTGGCATGGCTCTAACTCGAGGAAGGACTAGGATCCACCCAGATGTTCTGAAAGGTCAGTGGCCTGGACTCTTCAAAATGTCGAGGTCATCATATTGGAGACTCTAGACTAAAGGAGAAAGAAGGAAATTCAGTACAATTGGTGCTCCTAGGTAGGATTTTGGACCATGATTTTTGTGTCTTGTCCCATAAAACATATATGTGATATGATTTCATTTTCTTTTTTATTTTTGCAGTGCCAACATCTAATCCAGGACCTTTTGTGTGCTAGTCAAGTCTCTGCTGAGCATGATATTCTCCCCGCACTGGAAAAATTTGAGTGACATCTGTAGTGGGTGTCCTGATTTAACTGTATCGAATTTAATTTCTTGATTTTGATAACTGCACTGTGGTTACATAAGAGAGTGTGTGTGGTTTTAAGAATACACACTGAAATGTTGAGTGATAAAGAAGCACCACGTCTTTATCTGACTCTCAAGCAAGCGGTGCAAGGACGCGTCTGCCTCTCTCCACCCATCCATCTCCTCATCTAGGTCACTGAGAAAGCAAGTGTGAAATAACCCAGCCAATGTAAAGTGTCAACTGTTGTCGAATCTGGGTAAAGGATAGATGGAAACCTTTGCAACTTTTCTATACATCTTAAATCATTTCAAAATGAAAACTTTTTTGAAAACAGGACCTGCAGTGGCAGGATAAATCACAGACTGCTTCTATTTTGTTTGGTGGGCTCCATGACATGCTGCCAATTTAAACAAGGCAAGTCGGGCACCTCTGCGGCCCTCTTTCTCTCCTGTCCCCCTGATGGATCACCACCTCGTCAGTTTCCTTGACAGCCGACAAGAGAATCAAGCCCAGATATTTGCCATGGGCTTTTCTCAGGAACCATGGCGATGACAAACCTGCCTTGTAGCTGGTTTTCTCCGTGCTCTGTGTGTGTCTGCCTTTTCCTTGACGAGTGCACAGTGGCTGTGATACCTGAGGTATCCCAGCCCTCAAAAGCCAGTGCCAAATGGACGATTGGTCCCAGTACCCCGAGGCGTCCTGGGAAAGCCATCACACATCATGTGGTGTTCCAGAAACGGACAGGGTTTGGGCATGTGGGTGTACTTGAGGTTGGAGATGAACGTGTTTGATTTCCTGAGAATTCATACCGAAAATATGACAGTTATCGTGGGCCAACACAGTCCTGTTTGGGAATCGGCCCAAACTGGCCATCTTGCTCCTGTTTAATCCTCAGGCAACTTGTCCCCCGCGGAGGACAGCTCTGGCAGTTATCACGTCACCACCTAACAAGCCTGGTGGCCGCAGAACAGGCCGGCCTGGGAGCGTTCAAGGCCTTGTCTGCACAGTGGGCGGAGCGAGCACCGTCCGCTCCCTAGGTGTGACGCGAGGACACTGTTTTCTCCACAGGACACGGTGCTGTTGTGGCTGCCCTGGGTCCTGGGAGCGCGGAGGGTGTGACACCCCCCATGGCTATTAGGCGGAGGAGAGGCTAAGAGCGTCACCTCTCCTAGGGGCCCTGGGGAGGGCTGTGCTTCCCAGGGGACCCGCCCAGGCTGCTGGCCCTCTCCGTGGGGGTGAGCCTCGGAGAGAGGCGGGGCCCTCTGGGCTGTGCTCAAGAGGCTGCTTCTGCAGGCCCCGCACTGACCACCTTCCACAGTGGAAACCCAAGTCAAGACGTGGCAGAGCCAAGAGGGATTCAACAGCGTGCAAAATGGCTTTTTTTTTTTTTTGTTTGCAAAGCAAAGAGACATCTAGTCTCGTCATGAACCTGTTTTTGAGAGAGTTTAGAATCTGGTTGCAAAATCTTGCCCTCCACGCTGTGCATCTGGGGCGAGTCACCTGACCTCTTGGCAGGGCCCAGCAGACTTCTTGTGTGAAGGCCAGTGAGTCCTCTGGGCTTCGCAGGACTTGGAGTCTTGGCAACCTCTGGGCTCTCCGTTCAGCCACAGCAGCCTGGGTGACATTTAAACACGCGGACACGGCTGTCCTCCAGTAAGACTTTACTGATGGGAACTTCACTTGAGTTCCACCTGGTTGTCACTTGTGAAGCATTATTCTTCTGTTGATCTTTTTTTCTTGACTATTTAACAATGTGAAAACCATTCTTAGCTTGCAGGCTGCATAAACACAGGAAATAGGTCCGAGGCACTGACTCCTGTCAACCGAGCTTCCTGGGCTTTGTCCACTAAGAACAGTCTGCAGGTCCTCTCACCTGCTGTGATGGTGTGCAAGTCCTTTAACTCAGTGCTGTGTGGGGTTTTTGTTTGTTTGTTTGTTTGTTTTTTGCCCTCAGATCACATCTTTACTTTTGCTTACAGAATCCAGGATGCCTGACTCCACATAATACACAAAACTGTTTATAGAATTTAGGCCAAAGATTCAATAGCATTGCTTTCAGAAGTTATGTCATATATAGCAGAGGCTTAGGAGAAAATACTTCAAATATGGTTAGTCAGAGAGAGATGAAGAATGTGTGCTCTGTGAGACAAAATGTCTACTTTACACCATTAGATTTTATGCATCCTTGATGAGAGGGTAGATGACAATTAAAGCTTCATCAAATAGTTCAGGAACTTCTTCCAGAAAAATAATACATCAAAACTTAATTTGGAATGGAACCACCATTTGACCCAGCTATCCCACTCTTTGGCTTATACCCATAGGACTTAAAATCAGCATACTACAGGGACACAGCCACATCAATGTTTATAGCAGCACAATTCACAGTAGCTAAGCTATGGAACCAACCTAGGTGCTCTTCAATAGATGAATGGATAAAGAAAATGTGGCATATGTACACAATGGAATATTATTCAGCCTTTAAAAAGAATAAAATGATGGCATTTGCAGGTAAATGGATGGAGCTGGAGAATATCATGCTAAACACAATAAGCCAATCCCCAAAGCCCAAAGGCCAAATGTCTTCCCTAATAAGTAGATGCTAATTCACAATGAGGGAAGGGATAGGGAAGAATAGAGTTTGCATTAAGCAGAGGGGAGTGAAGGAAGGGGAGGTGGTCGGGGAGGAAAGGACAGTAGAATGAATCTGACATTACTCCCTGTGTGCACATATGATTACACGATCAGTGAGCTTCTACCTCACGTACAACCAGAAGAATGAGAAGTCAGGCTCCATTCATGTGTGAAGTGTCAAGATGCATCCTAGTATCATGTGTAACTAATTAGAACAAATAAAAAAATGAAGACTAAGGGTCAGAGATTTCAAACCACTGGCTTAAGTCACAAGACTGATAAATACAGAACAGAGTGGAGCCAGAGCTGATAATGATGCTATTGGGATAATTTCTCCAGCTGAAGAGTCTGTTTCCTTAGAGTTGATTTCACAGTGTTAACAAATAAGTGGTCAAAGAGCTATTTATGATAATAATAAAATGAAAAATAAAAAACTTTACCTCTTAGCAAACTTTCAAATCTAATCGGACTCAGCTATTAGTGACGATGATGAAGATGGTGGTGAAGGTGGTAGCCTACGGTGTATCATATGCCAGTCAAGTTCTCTGAGGTTCATTTAAGCCGACAATGACCCAGTGAGGCAGGTTCTGCCACCACCTCCATCTCAGATGACAAGACTGAGGCACAGAGAAGGCGCCTGAGGGAGGCCCGCTGTGTCCACCACCCAGCAGTGGTCAAGGTGCCGCAGCGGTGATGGGCAGGGGCTCCTGGACCCGAGAGCCTTCCCCAAGCCGCTGTACTTGCCAGGGTCCCTCCCACCTCTGCCCCCAGGCCCTCGCTGGGCTCCACCTCGACCTTGGACTTCCCAGCCACCAGAATTGTAAAACAATGAGCTTCTGTGTCTCCTAATTCCCTGGTCTGGGGTGCTGCTTTGTCAGAGCCGCCCGAGGCTGACCCAGGCAAGCCCTACCTGGGACAGCAGGGCCACTGCACACCTGTGCCCTCAGCACACAGGCTCTGCCAGGCGTCCACCAGTGAATTGGACACGGTCAGCAGGACACAGAGCCTGCCCGGCAGGTCCCAAGGGCACCCAAGGGTATGTTCATGGCTACGAAGCCTGTGAAATGCCAGGGAGGGGTCAGCTGAGGAGTGGAAGGCATGGAACTCTGCGTCAAGTCGAGACGGTACATTTTGTAGATGGTACAAAACACAGTGGCGCCTCCTGTAATGCCAGCAGCTTGAGACGCTGAGGCAGGAGGATTACGAGTTCAAAGCCAGCCTCAGCAACTTAGTGAGTCCCTAAGCAACTCCGTGAGACCCTGTCTCTAAATACAAGATTAAAAAGGCTGGGGATGTGCCTCGGGGGTTAGGGCCCTGCATTCAATCCCCCGTCCCAAAGAAAGGGGGGACCCACACATGGTGCAGTGGGGGCTGCGGAAGCCAGGCTCTGCCTGGAAGGTGGGAGGCAGCTCACCTCACAATGAAGAGCACGACCCGGACTCTGGCTGCTGCCGATTCAGGGCCATCCATTCCAGCTGCTCTGGGGTCCCCTGGAGCCTCTACCTTTTCTCTGTCAGCAGATACGACAGTCTCACGAATCCGAAGTCAAAATGGAGCCCTCCCCTGAGCTGTGGACCCTCAGCTTCTAGACCTGATCCCCTGAAGACGGAGACAGGCAGAAAACCAAACCAAGCCCAGAGATCTGGCGAGGGGCATTGATCTGTCTACTTCAGAGGTTGGACGGACAGTGAGCCCACCACCCTGGGAGAAGAGGGCAAGAGGGGAAGAGAGCGG